AAATTAAAAACAGTAAAATAAGATACCAAAACCACTCAAGGCAAAAAGCAACGAAGTATTGATACATGCTCCCCCAGGAATGAACCTTGGAGACCTGCTAAGTGAAAGAAGCCAGACCCAAAAGAGCACATGCTGTATGATTCCATTGACACAAAATGTCCGAAAAGGGCCAATCTACAGAGACACAAAGCAGATTAGTGGTTGCCTGGGGCTGGGAATGGGGAAGGGCGGCAGATGGGAACGGGGTTTTCCAATTCGAGGCTGGTGATGGTTGCACAGCTCTGTGACTAGCCCACCGCTGAGTTGCACGGCTTACATGGGTGAATTGCACAGTATGTGAATCACATTTCAGTAAAGCTGCTAAAAAAATGTCGGGTCTTAGGTTTTAAGCGAAGTAAAAATCGTCCTTTGGAAACGGCTGGTGTCTTGCAGATGCGAGCACTTCCGGCTGCTGGTTGTAAGTTCTGAGTTCAGGCCACTGCCCCCCGGGCATGTTCTTGGCTCTCTCATAAACCAGATTCATGGGCCTCCCACGGAAACCACAGGGTGTTTCTGAGTGTTCGTCCCTGGGGGGTGAAAACTCAGTGCGTGCCAGACATTTTTCCAGGTGCTTTCATCCATGCTTCCTTCACCCTCCTGCAGCCCTGCACGGCGTGTACTTTCGTGCCCGTGTTTTGTATATGCAGAAATCGAGCTCCCGTGGAGTATACACAGCAGGGCAGAGGTGCCACCAGAACCGGGACGGAGCCCAGAGCTCTTGGATCCCAGGGTCATTCTCTTTTCACCTCCTGGTGGAGGGCTGGGTTGATGAGCTCTCCCTCACGTCTTACACAAGGGGAAAAAGTCAGCTGCGAGGCAAAAGCCAGCAGGCTCTTGCAGGGACAGCTTAGGGAAATCACCGGGGACAAGGCCTGAGAGTTCCAGGCAAATCCTTTGCAGGCTTGTGTCTTCCAGTGGGTCATCTCTGCTCCCTCCGGAAGTGAGGATGACATTCTGCCCTGTGCCCTGGGGCAGCTCTTCCTAGGAGAGAGCTCCTAGGGAAAGGACCGTGGGAAAACATGAGGAGGCTTTCCATGGACACGTTTCTGAGTGTCATTCGTTTTTAGAGGAAACATGTTTATTTCCCTGGAGCTCTCAGCTTTGTCTGTATCCTGAGTTTTCAAGAGTTCGTAACCCTAGGAGCTGTTTTTTGGACATGGAGGGAGGCTACGGTATTATTCCAGCCAGGGAACCTGATGTTTTTTTGTAAGTGGCAATGCTGTTGTGTAGTAAAATGGGGTAAAGATGGGCATGAGTGAGTTCAGGTGCTTGGAGAAGAAAATGGGAAAAGATTTGCACTCAGTGATCCAAGGCAGACCCAGCAGCTCTAAGAGACATGATTAAAAACCATATTCTCAGGGCGCCTGGGTGGCTCAGTCGGTTAAGTGTCTGACTTAGGCTCAGGGCATGCAGGATCTCATGGTTCGTGAGTTCGAGCCCCACATCAGGCTCCTCGCTTCCAGTGCAGAGCCTGCTTGGGATTCTCTCTCTCTTCTCTTCGTCTCTCTCTGCCCCTTCCCAACTCTCTCTCTCTCAAAATAAATAAGCTTTAAGAAAATGCAAATTCTCAGGTTCCAGCCCAGACCTACAGAATCTGAAACTCTGGGGATGTCCAGGAACCTGTGTTTTAATAAGCTCTCAAGAGAGTTCTTAAACACACTCCAGTTTGAGTAGCTTAGCACCAGACCTCCTTACATATGCTTGAGGCTGAGCCGGAAAATCTGGTCACGTTCCCAGGAGACCACCTCCTTTGGTGCTTGACCTGATCTTGCAGGGAGGCATGCGAGCTGGAAGGGAACATGTATTCATTTATTGAAAATGTTTGTTGAGCACTTCCTCGATCCAGGCACTCAGTCCCTCCTCCGAGGGAGTTTACATCCTCGTGGGGGAGTCAGATAGCAAACTAGGGGGGATGGATACAGAAATACTGCAGATGAGGATGTCACGCTGGGATGGTGACATTCAGCCAGTGAGGGGGAGGCAGGGATGCCCAAGCAAAGAGCCAAGAGAATGGGTGTCCAGAGAGAGAAGACAGCTGGTGGAAAGTTCTGGAGGTCGGGTGGAGTTGGGCAGCTCAAGTAATGGCAGGGGGCCGACGGGGATGAGCCAGGGGGAGGGGCAAGAGAGTGTTGGAGAGATGAGACTGGATCCACAGGACCAAGGGGGGAGCTTGAATGTGGCTCTAAGGTGCTGGGCAGCCACCGAAGGATTAACCGGCAGAGTGGCAGGATCTGGGGAAAGATTTGACAAGATCCATCTCTCCGGCTGCCTATGCAGGCTGGTGCGGCGGGGCAAGCGACGAAGCCAGGGGCGTGACTAGGGAGATTCTGTCCAAACTGTATTTGCAACAAAGTTCTATTTTCCTCCTCCTTGTCTTCTGCCTCCTCCTGCCCCTCCTCCTCTCCCTCCTCCTCCTTTTTTGCGGGGTGCGGGGTGGGGCACAGTTTAAGAAAATTGGAATTGTTTTGCCAGGGTTTCTGTTAGCATTTTACAGACGGAACTGACTTGCATCCCAAGTGTGACATCCTCATTGCTTTCGTTAGATAACACTATACGTATTACAGTACCAACTAGGCGCTTAATTACATATACGGCTACTGATGAAAAAAAAGGACATTTCATCAAAAGACAATTCAGCTCAGATGTGCACATTTTTGAGACGTACAAAACCAAGTTCAGTTGATGACGGTTGAGCAGCGTCTGCAAGATTTGATCCATTTCAGAAATATGAGCTCACTGGCATTGCCTGGGCTGGCATTTTCTTAGCCGAGAACTACTTACCTGGGTGTAGGAAACCTAATATTTTATTTAGAAGAATGATTCATTGCTTTAGGGGTCAAGAGTCCTGCGTTTTGTCTTTTTTTGTTGCCTAAGTTTGATTTGATCGTGGACAAGTCATTGCAGTGCATATTTTAGTGTCTCTGTGCGGGAGATGGGTAATAATTGTTCTGGCAACCCTCTTTTCATCAAGGTAACTGGGCGAGAGTTCTCTGAGACTTAGAGATATTACTACCTGTGCAAAGGCCCTGTGGCAGAAGGAAGCAGGAACTGAAAGGTAGCCCACGCGGTTGGAGGAGAGCAGAGTGCAAAGGGAAGTTGATCCAGAGTGATGTTGTTAGAGGGGGCAAGGGCCAGGCTGGGCAGAATCTTGCAGACCTTGTTGGGGACTTTAATCTTTATCTTAAGGGGAGACCACTGGAAGATTTAAATAGGGGAATGACAAAAGATCGATAGATAGGCTGTTTCCTTTAATCCTCACAACAAACGTGTGCAGCAGTTAATATCCCCATTTTAAACCAGCACAGAAATTTAGGGTAGTGGCGATTGAGTAGCTTCCCCAAGAGCGCGTTGCTGGCAGGTAGTGGAGCCAGGAGACAAACTCAGTTCACCTGGAGTCCAGAGCCCCCCTTCTTCCATCTCAGCCTAACTCAATAACTATATAACAATAACCACTGTTTTAAAAGACGCTTTGAACTCTTAAGACGAAAAGATCTCCCTTACATTACAAAGTGGTATTATGCTGCAGAAATATGAGCGCCGACGAGAGATCGGATACACTGGGGAAGCTTTGAAAGCCTCAGCCTGCGTGGCGAGGGTCCAGCATCTTCGAGTTCCTTGCTGTCTGGTGGGGGGCGCCTCACAGCCAGCTATCGCCACACGGAAAGGTTTGGCAGCTCCGGCCGGCCATCTGACACTGCCATTGTCCGTAAGGACTCATTGTCCGTGAGATGTCCCAAGGTACCTGCTTTCAGGGACTCTGAGCCGGGCAATCAGATCCGGGCAGTTCATGCGTGGTTTCGTGGGAGTAATCGTGCCATGCCAAGGTTTCTGCTTTCTGCTTTCTCCCTCTCGGGGAGTCCGTTGGTTTCAGTGGATTCTTAGGAGCTGGTTGTAGAGATCACCATCTCGGTTGTGGACCCAAGAAGCCTTATTCAAGGTTGAGACGGGAAAACTGCTGCTGACCCGTGGCCCTCGAGCCTTCTGTTGATGACGACAAATGTTTGTTCTTTTCTAGTTGACCATGTCGTGCCCGAGCCCGGGACAAGCCTGCTGGCAGCCTTCGACCAGTGGAGGGAGTGGGCTGACAGCAAGTCCTGCTGTGACTACTCTCTGCACGTGGACATCACGGAGTGGCATAAGGGCATCCAGGAGGAGATAGAGGCCCTGGTGAAGGACCACGGTAGGTTATGCTGACTGGCACCTCCGGGGATATTTCCATTTCGGTACACGAGCCGGCACAGCTCTCTGAAGGAGAGCTCTGTGAATAGCGCTTGCAGACCCCTCTGTGCCTCTCCTCCGTGCCTGCAAGGAGAGAAGGTGGGGCCGCAGCTGGTGCCCACTGGAGGCAGCCAAACCCAGCACGGCAACGGAAGCTTTCATTGACGGGAGAACCGGACGGAGCCTCACCAGGGGGACCGGTTCCTGTGTGACAACTGCACACAGCTTACTGGTTTGAGGGAACTGCGCCCAGCCAGGTTGGAGAGTTGAGGCCATGGGACTGATTTGCCCTCAGAGGATAAGAACGCCTGTCCCAGTGAGGATTCTGGACCGTCATGGGCGGGGGGAGGAGGTGCCCAGGATGCCGAGTGGGGGACTCTTCCTGCAAACCCACGAGGACCAGGATAGACTTGAGGGTGAGGAGGCTCTGGGACAACCTGAAAGGTCTTTTTCATGCCAGGGGACTATTTCAGGGAGTAGGATTCCAGGGGTTGGACCCTGGAGGATTCCCAGGCAGGCTGGAAGAATCCGGACTACCTCAGGGTGCCTTTGGGACCCTTCTGTCCACAGGGACCTTGGGAGTTCAGGTGCTAATGCCAAGTCACTTCATCTTCTGGGGTCTTCTTGAGCTTGGCTAGAGACTAGACTCCTAGGGTGACCTCTTGGCTTCATGGGATCTTAACTGTCAGGGGAGCGCCTGTTGCTTTCGGGTTCTGAGACTTCTAAGCCCAGGAGTACCGCTGTGGGTAAAATAGCAGGAGGGAAGTCTCTAGGTGCGGATACGGTAGGTATCCGTGAATACGGCCGAAAACGCCCAGAATGAAACTCTGGAGTCTTGGGTTTAGTGTGTCTTCCTCGCATTAGCCATATGACCTTGGGGAATTACTTAAATTTCATGAGTCTCCGTTAAAAAAAAAATCACATGAGGGTATTGGACTAGATATCCTAAGATTCTTTCTGGCACAAAGGTTCCACCTAAAAGAAAAGAAGTAACCTTTGACCTTTCTCGCTTTTGAGAATACAGAGTCTTAAAGGGTTTAACTTTCCATACTTAAACTGAATCGAATCCAAATCAGGCGAGAGTGTCACCATAGCAACTGTTGCCTGGCCAGAGAGAAGGGTTGGGATGTCCCAAGCCACTGAGCCCGGGCAGCGTTCAGCACCCCCAGGTGGCTTGAATTAAACTCCAAGACTAGAAGGTTGTCAGTACAGTTGTTTACCATTGTGATGGATGTCAGGCAGGGATGTTTGGTCTGGTGCCTCGGGAGGCAAGGACTCTGAAATGCCAGGGTGAGAATTGCAACATCAGCTTATTGGACCCTTTCTTACTTAAGAACGTTTCTTTTTCTTTTTTTTTGTTAATGTTTATTTATTTTTGAGACAGAGAGAATCAGAGCATGAATAGGGGAGGGTCAGAGCGAGAGGGAGACACAGAATCCGAAGCAGGCTCCAGGCTCTGAGCTGTCAGCCCAGAGCCTGATGCGGGGCTTGAACTCACAGACTGTGAGATCATGACCTGAGCCGAAGTCGGATGCCCAACCAACTGAGCAACCCAGGCGCCCCAAGAACGTTTCTTAAAAATCAGCTTGGATGGAAGTCTGTTTACCAGAGGAAAGATCTAGATCTTGTAGATCTTCACAGAATATTCGATTTCATTTTCTTCTCAAAGTCACAACAGCTGGGGGCAACTTTTGTTTTTATTTTTTCACTTTGTATTTATTTTTATTTTATTAAAAAAATTTTTTTTAACATTTATTTATTATTGAGAGAGAGGGAGACACAGAGCAGGAGCAGGGGAGGGACAGAGAGAGGGGGAGACACAGAATCTGAAGCGGGCTCCAGGCTCTGAGCTGTCAGCACAGAGCCTGACGTGGGGCTCGAACTCACAAACTGTGAGATCATGACCTGAGCCAAGATCAAGAGTCGGACACTTAACTGAATGAGCCACCCGGGTGCCCCCATCTTAATCATTTTTAAATACACATTCAATGACATTAAGTACATTCACATTGTTGTGCAACCATTTCACCACCCATCCCCAGAACTTGTCATCTTTCCACACTGAAGCTCTGTACCCATTAAACACCAACCCCCAGTCCCTCCTACCCCCAACCCCTGGCAATCCCCATTCTCCTTTTTTTTAATTAAAAAACATTTTTTTAATGTTTATTTTTGAGAGAGAGAGAGAGAAACAGAGCTCAGGGGAGGGGCAGAGAGAGGAAGACACAGAATCCGAAGCAGGCTCCAGCCTCCGAGCTGTCAGCACAGAGCCTGACGTGGGGCTCGAACCCATGGACTGCAAGATCTTGACCTAAGCGGAAGTCAGACACTCATCCGACTGAGCCACGCAGGCACCGCCCACCCCCATTCTACTTCCTGTCTCTGTAAATTTGACTTGTAAATGGAATCTTACGTATCTGTCCTATAGTGACTGGCTAGTTCCCTTAGTGTAATGTCCTCAGGGTTCATCCATGTGACAGGATATTCTTCCAGCTTCGGGCTGAGTGACGTTCTGCTGTATGACTGTACGACATTTCGTGTATCCATTCGTCGGTCAGCGGACACTTCTGCCCTTTGGCTAATGTGAATAACGTTGCTGTGCATTTGAATACACGTAGAGGTACAGGCAACTTCTAAGTTTGGTATAGTTTTAAACTTAGAGAAAAACTGTCAGGATGCTAAAAGCTTTTGCACCCTCTTTTACCAATTCTTTATATTTCTGTCTCCGCCTCTGTCTCTGTCTCTCCCGTCTTTCTTCTCTCTATCTGTATACGTATATGCATAGTATTATACCTTTCTTAGTCGCTTCCAGATTATTTGGTTTATTTATTAAAGTCCTGTGTCCACCTCTCTATTTTGTCTGTCCACTAGGGGTCAATTCCTTCCTGGTGTACATGGCTTTCAAAGATCGCTTCCAGCTAACTGATTCCCAGGTAAGGAAGGTTGCCTTTTCTGAACAGGCATTTGGTACATTTGGGCCAATGTCGTTGTTTTGGAAGCTGCCTCCGGTGTGTGTATGTCCCTTGGCTTCATGGGACATGGCTGGTGGATGAACTCCCTGATGTAACTTTACCTTTAGGGAGGGTCTGAAGCCAGTGCACTGGCCCCCGGGGCTCTGGAGTCAGCCTCAGACCTGCCTCTGTGGGACAGAGTAGCCCAGAGATGTACTCAGAGCCACCTCAGCAAACCTGGCGGAGAGCCAGGTGTCATCCGTGACCCTCCCCTACTCCGAGTCCCTTAGGTTATGCTGTCCCTGTTGATTACCGCGCGGGCCTGCTCGGCCACATGTGGCCGGAAGCCTTGCCCTGGGGGCCTGTCCACAGAGCCAGCCTTAACAGTAGCGGCCACCGGTGCCGTTTCTGACCCCTGTGGCCGGCAGGGGAGTGGCTATACCTGTGAGCAGGTAGATGGACGTCCCTGTCTCTGATCCCCTCCCCTCCTCCAGATCTATGAAGTATTGAGCGTGATCCGGGATATCGGTGCAATTGCCCAAGTCCACGCAGAAAACGGCGACATCATTGCAGAGGTATGAGGCCCTCTTCCTCATCGTTTCTTCATGACGTGCAGGGTGAGAGGTGGGCTCGGGAGCAGGAAACCACTTCTGTGGCTCAGCTGCAAGCAGGAGAAACAGGGTGACCTGGTGTGACCGCCCTGGGCACGGTGCTAAGAGCCTCACCAGCAGCGTGGATGTCGGGGACGTGTGCCTCTCTGCATTCCACGGGATGCACGGCCTGTTCCCTTTGCACAGAGAAGTCAGTTCTCTCGTCCTGTAGGGCAGCCGCCTGTGGGTGGGCGACATGGGCTTCCACGTACAGACATTTTACACTGTGGCCCAGGGCCGGGCACGCGTGGGCTCTCAGCATCCCGGGGGAGAGCTGAACACCTGCTCAGGCAGGACTGGGGACAGGGTACTGAACCCTTCTCTTCACAAGGCCCTGGCATAAGAGCCGAGTGATCATCTCTCCTGAGTAGCTTTTTGGGTAAAAGGTCTCTAGCGATCAGAGCATCTCAAGTCCAGCTCTCCCTGACGGCCTGGCTTGCTTTAAACCTTGCAGGAGCAGCAGAGGATCCTGGATCTGGGCATCACGGGCCCCGAGGGACACGTGCTGAGCCGGCCTGAGGAGGTGAACATCTATGGAAAGCAGAAGAAACAGGCAGAAGAAAGAGAAGGGGGAGGCACTGGGAATGTCCCGCACACTGAGGATTGACACTTCCGTGTTCTGCATTTTTTTTTTTTT